ACAGCCTGTCTGGTCCCGTGAATACATGTTCTTAGTACGTGTTGCTGAGAACTAAGTTCTCCACATGGGCATCGTCCGTCTTCTTTATTGACTGTTGGTGGTAAGGGTGTCAATGACATTGTCAGACGCATATTGACAAGTATGATAAGCCATCAACTGTCACTATAGTATAATTGGTTAGGTAGCAATAAACTTTCCTTTGAACAGTACAAAACCATTGCGAAATTGATTCTTGTATGTTAATACATTTTGAAACTGCACACTTCTTACCCTGCAATTTTATTTTAGTTGTTTTAAGAAGAAACCCTTCCACCCACCCATGATGTCTCCACCGTAATACGCACAGCTGCTGATCGAAATGGTGGTCAACATAAACGAAGACCACAAATTTCTACCCTAACCGAAGTCGAGCAACAATCAATCTGAAATTGAAAATTAATGCTGTTTAATAAATTTATTTTTTTGACTTGTAATATTCAATTAGGTAATAAATTCATATTTGAAATAGATTACGTAGTATTATATGGATCTAGATGTCATCATTGACCAGTGATTAGCCGTTCTGGCCACTGCTGGTATATGTATGAGTTTTATTTATTACAATCTATCGCATCGCATATGGAAACTTGCAGTAACACTTCTTGTTTAACCGGATTTGGTGGCAAATGCAAGGCCTATGTTTATTTAAGATTTTTGAAAAGAGGAATCAATTTGCTGTACAACAATAAATATGTATATGGTTGATATACAAAAAAATTGAAAAAAGGTGTTCGCCTTATCGCGAGTAACTTTAGCGCATGAACATACCTTATGTTTAAAATATGCGATATGTTTCCCTTTACTAAAAGAATCTTTCCTTAAAATTTCAAAAAAATCTCTTCATACTTAAGAAAAATACATTGCGCAGATCTGATTTCTACAACAAGCGATATGCTTGTCTTACTGGAACTAAATAAAATTAGTTGTTTTATTCAAATTCGTTTTTTGTTGTATCTTGTTGTGAATAATTGCAAGAAATACTTAGAACACGTTTTATAATTCACACATAAACATTTTACAATAAACGTCCTGATGGAATGACCCTTGTGCCCTGGACAAAAGGACAAATGCTAGTTTGGGATGCCACCTGCACTGACACGCTAGAACTATCCCATGTTAATTTGTCAAGTAAAACGAGTGGTGCAGTAGCTGAATCTGCGGCAGGTATGAAAATAAGGAAATATAGTTCAATTATAGAACAGAGCCATATTTTTATACCTTTCGCAGTGGAGACATTGGGACCTTGATATAGAGAAGCTCGTAATTTTGTGGAGTGCCTGGGAAAACGCATTACCAATATTACTGGAGAACTCCGAGCTACCACTTACTTGCGACAAAGAATAAGTTTTGCTATACAACGTGGCAATGTGGCAAGTGTAATGGGGACGAAATTTTTAGTTTTTCATTTCTTTAAATAAAATTGATTTCAAAAATTTTAATTCTTATACTTCTGTTAGTTTAATTTAATTTGTTTTTTTCTAATTAATTGTTGTATCAACACTGATTAGATTGCTTTTCAATGCGGAATAACATAAACCGTAAATTGCCCTAGCTAATTATTCATTTAAAAAAATCTTTGTACAGGCCCATAATAAGAATTTTCTTAACTAAACCCAAAAAAAGCCAAACAGCAAATAAACCGCAAAGTGGTATACATCATCGAATTCAGAATAAAAAGGGCTTAAGCATTTGATATCGGAATATCAGGGCCGTATTTAAAAAATCAAGTTGACGCCAGAAAAGCATAGTTCGTAAAATCCAAAAATACCGATTAAATTTGACGTTTTGCTTAGAAATTCGTCACTTCACAATTTGCCACCTACCAAAATCTCTCTTACTGATGCACTCGAGATTTTTAGTGGAAAATTGACGAGAAGTATTCCTTCTTACCAAAACAATTTTCAATTTTACGAAAGAGGAAAAAATTTAATCAGGCTATTTTTAAGCATGCGGGATATTACTGTTGATCAAATGTCTGACAGGCTAGCGTCCATGCTTTTGATTCCATGTCAACAAGTTTGGGCATCACTATGCTGCCCTGCTAAGGAAAAAGGCATTAAGTGTTTTTAAATGAAATGACCATTTTCTTACTATTGCATTAGATAGAGAATCGAAATTGGCATATTTTGATATTATATGTTACTATAGCTATTTTTAACAATTTTTGACTTGTTCTCATTTCATTGAATTGATACCATTTTTTCCGGATTTTCTTTTTAGTAGTCGGAAATGATTTTATAATATAACAATCGAATTTTAAACAAGTCTAGTGACACTAAAACGTCACCCATAAGTGTTTCAATAATGGAAAAATGGCTCGCAGTGGTTTCACCTATTTTAATTATAATTATAAGAATTTTGGAAACTTTGTACCTCCAAAACAATTACCTAGCTAGAACAAAACCAATCGTTGAAAATGAGGCTAACCATAACTCACATTGCTGGTGCGATCAAAATCCTTTTTTTAAATCAAGAAGTACCTACACATCCAAGGGTTCTGGAGTTTTTATGTGCTTTGTGCGTTGAAAAATAACAAGATTTTGTGTTTCCATCTGTATCAAGAAAATTTGCATGCAGAACGTTATTTGGAAATTTAGTATTGTTATTGAACAGCAACAGAAGATCCGCCTCTGCAGGGATATGTTGCTATGTCAACAAGACTGCACATAATGCAGGCATTATTTCCGAGTTTTCAGACGTCATTTTTCCAGGGAATTGAATCGGAAACCTCGGGCCTGTTCGATCCTCGGACCTTTCCCTTATAGGTTTCTTTTTGTGTGGTTATGTAAAAGACAGAGGAAGAGAAATTTGACGTAGAATCCGAAAATGCAATAAAAAATAGGAGTTGCCATTTAAAATAACGAAGCTACTTCCGGTATTTCCGGAAGTGCGACAATTTTGAAAGTACAACTTTTCAAAAACCTACCTATTTCACTTTCCCAAAAACGTTTAACTAAAGCTCCCAAAAATACACCCTGTATAGTTGGGTTAATTTATTCAACAAATATTGAGGCTGACATAATTAAGCTAAATTATTTGGAAGCAGGACATACATTTATGTCAGAAGATAGTTTTCATCATCAAGTTTCAAAGCCACTAAGAAAAAAGGGAAACATATATGACTTTGATGACTTTGTAGATGCGGTCGGGAACACCAATTCAAAATGTGACTTTTTAAACCCGTTCGATTTTTTCCTACCTTTTGACTTCCACTGCCAGGATTAACAAAGCTCAACCGAGGCCGTATTTGTATACCTCAAATACAAAGAATGAAAAGATACCTAACCCTTTGGTACAAACTAGTGAAAGAGGTGTAATCAAATTAAAAAAAAAGGAAGTAATATTAAAAACCCTTGTGCCTAAAAATAGGCACATCTTTAGGGACAAATTAGATTTAGTCGGTAGATGGAATTGATTACTAAAGTTGTTTGCAATATTGTTGTTTGTTTTCTACGAATAAAAATCAGTCTGTTTTGAAATAACTGTACAGTTTTAAGTCTCTTTATTGTGAAAAACCCTAAGAAATGTTTCAACTGCAGTTATCTCAGTTTTCGGTTATGTGCAATTACGTCTTTTCTTCTTAGGACGACAGTATGACAAATATATTGAATCTGATCGAAGCGTTTAGGCGAATATAGCAATACATAATTACAATTAATTATTGCGAATTCTGTTTTAAATGTTGACGATCTGTTCACGCCTATTACAAATTCTTGAAAAATATATAGGAATTCTGCCAATAATTTTTATACAAAAGTATATCATTATTTGAGCAATTCTGTTACCTATACTAATTCAAGCCAGTTAATAGAAAACAGCTATTTCAAAGCGCCAAATCTAGTAGTCATAAAGCATTACTTATATTACAGATTAATAGCTTTATATTATACCGGATCTATATTTGATTTAATGTATGCCGAATCTGAATGCTATTTGTGGTTAATTCCAATATTACATTATTGTATGAACATTAGTTAATCAGTGTCATTACATCAATAATTGCCTTCAAGCTAAATACTATAGGAAATCCTCATTATTGAACTTTCCTTTACTGGAAATCAAATTAATTATTTAGCCAACATCTTTTGTTATTACTCGGTTCTCTTTTACTCACTTTATTCTGTCATTAAATCGCATTGTTTGCACTGCTTGCTTTGCGTACAATACACACTAACTGCGCAAACAAAGAAGTTAATTGCAAGTGAATATTATTAATGCAGTGAATGAGTGAATTTATTAACCCACATCAAAAATGGAACTTCCTTTCGACTTATCGTTTAATAAATAAAGTAATAGGTAATTAATTTTGCCCTTACGTTGTGTTGTAAACGGAACAGATGTTAGGGAGCCACGGCTGAGTATTTAATAGCTTTAAATTAGTTTCCTAGTTTACGAGTGTCGGGAAATACCGCTCGGTTTTATAATTATCGTAAACAAAGCCTCCAATATTTCTAACAAATGAAATAAAATCGAGAAATTTAATTAAAGCGAAAACGTCAACGTCATGGTGACCGTGGAATGAACTTTGCAAACGGGAACAACTTCGAACAGGAGCGTGCAGGTAAAAACTTAATAAATCAACATTCGCACATAAATCAAAATTGCGCTGTGCAAACGAAAAGGTTTTTTATAACCGCGTAGAATTTCTTACCGAAAATTATTTTAATTGATTAATACGCATGTGTCTTTATTTTATGTTTGAACTTTCGCTTTAGTAAGGTGGAGAGTCAACATAATTTCAATTAGTTGGCAATCAATCCGTTCTAAATGGGGTTAAGCGTATCTCAAACTACTTGAGAACAACGAGGACTCCTTCGAATATGAATTACATTTAACTTCTAAAGCTAGTAAATTTGTAGTGTGACGAACAGGAACCATATACTAGCTAGAGAAGCATTATTCACTTATAGTATAAAACAGCCCCTTCTGTTCTTGCTTCTTTTGTACATTATAAGACTTACCTCCTTCCAATACCGACTCAGACAGCTTCACACTTATTACAATTTTGTATAAACAAGAAAGCAACCAATTAAAACTGAAAATGCGATACATCTCGGCAATTGCAGTCTTGATTAATTAAGTGACGTAGTTAGGTTAACAAACAACATTGCGTTTCACACTAACGTTTTTCGTTACATAATTTGCATCATTTAAACCCCACTGCAACTGTTTAAGTTAATTAACTACTTGCCCAATAAATTGACGTTTTAGCATAAATGCGTACGTGGCCCAAAAAAGTGCCCCGGGATGTTATGAATTAGAAAAGCAACCCATTCATTTTTAAACAAAATGGGTCAGTTTTCTGATGGAAGAAATTATGTTAATTTAATTTCTATCGGGTAAGGTTAAAGGTGAAACGTAAAAAAGCGGCTCTTAATATCGAAAAAGGTTTTCTAAAAGAAGAATGTTTTCCGAACACTACTTTCATCCCTGAAAAATTAGTGATCATACAGTATACGCCCGAAATCGCACACCGGCGTGACAGGAAGCGGACACCATAGCCTATTACCAGAGTAGAATAGGGGCACCATGCGCCATATTGGACTTCGTTACGTCACAAGGCAATGTCCTTGGGATTTTGCAAGGTCATGGGGTTGGGATTTCTCAAGGTCGTGGCTGTGGGATTTCCCAGGTTGTGATCTTGAATTTTGTTATGGTCTTGGATTCTGGTTCAAGGCAATGGCAAAATTGCACGTTTCATATTGGAGAAGTAGGGACGTTTGGCGCGTTCCGCTGTGATTGGCCATTTATTTGAAAATTATAATAAATTGCATTGAAATGCTAAAGAAATATGTGCTGCTAAGATCATCAAATGTTAAGCATGACAGATTTTTGATCAAAGATTCAAATTAGAAAGTCCTGTCGGTATGAATACTTTCCAAAATTTTCCGAAAATGATTGCCCAGTTTTTAAACTTGCTAAATCCCTATTTGTACACCGGCCATTGCTTTCGGCGTTCGTCGACTACTCTCCTTATTGATTCTGGGGCCGATTTGGTGAGAATAAAACATCATGGCGGTGGAAGTATAATACAATCGCTGAAGGCTATATGGAGAATTTCATAACTAATTTCCCTTGCGGCTCGGCCGATTACGGGTAGGTAGATTTCTTTCTCCCATTTTGTTTCAATATGGCGGAATTGGCTGATTCACGAACTTGGCCGAGATATTTATGAGTTACATCAACCCTCAAAGTTTGGTCGAAATTACGAAAGTTAGAGTGTTTCTTGGAAGTGATATATAAACCTATAAACATGCTGGTATCAGTATAATAGGTATCCTTGGAAAGACTTTTATAGAAAATACGCAAATTAATGCTACCCAGAAAACTATGTTGTCAGATGGAGTTAATATCACCCATTGTTTATATAAGTTATATAAGTAGTTTAGTTTGAATGACGTTACCTTAAACATTTGAGACGGAATATACGTTAAACCTTTATTTTACATGGAACGCACGATGCCAATCATCTCTTATTGTTTCTTGTAGGGAGATATTCAAAGGCAAGCTGGTGACAATTCCACAGCTCAGCTGGAAAACGGACATGTCGCGTTCTGTTCCTATTTATAATGTAGTTGTCTCCAAAATACATAAGCAAGTCTACAAAAAGAAAAGGAGAGGCAATTAGTAGTTTTCCTGCCATGGTAACGTATGGGAAACAGCGCCTTCATAACCTTACCGACACGGCGCGGTTACGCCACAGAACCCTATATTATTATATAATTTTTAAAAGAGAATTGCTTGTATAATTTCATTGAGTAAGTAATTACAGGAAGAAGTAACGCTTATGGACTTTTGCGTATTACTGTAATGTTGGTTGCATACCGTAAAGTTGTTTATGTCTTACTAACCTATCATAGCACATTTTATATCTGTGATACGCGGGCATAAAGTACCACTTTATGCCCTAGGGCATAAAGTATCACCATAGTAACTCATTTATACTTAATGACAAAACAAACAAATATTTGCAGATCATTGAAAATTAGAAACGTCAATTATTAATTGTCAATACCTACTAAATCACAAGATTGGCCTTATTTCGTATAGTTTCTGGAACTTCTTGCTCATTCACGATGAATTGAATTATTTAAAATTACGTTTGACGTTTGGATGGTTTCAATCACATTAACAAATTCGAACCACGCATACTCGATCAAACATAATGAATTATTCTGTAAACGAATTTTGACGAAGAAAACTATTTGTAAAACATAAAATTGTGTATGTACCACGGGCATAAACTGATGTTTATACTCTCGGGCGACTAAAAAGCTCTCGGGCCATAGGCCTTCGAGCTTTTTAACTCGTCGCCCTCGAGAATATAAACATCACTATTATGCCCTTAATACATAAATAACTATTATAGTCCAGGAAACGAAACTTAAAATAGCATAAAACCATGCAATTTTTTTGCATATATGAAAATTTGGGATTAAGGGCAACTTACCCTCCACTTCAAAATCTATATTATGCCGATGGGGCTCTTCATTTTTCAGGGGTGAAAACTACCCCTACCCATAAAACTTCATATTAAAGCTTAAGGCGAGTAAAATTTGGTTCAGATGAGTTGAGTAATGATTGTTAAGAGGCCTTGGAACATTATTTCATAATTTTTTAACCCTTATAGTATATTAAGTATGGAGAACGGTAAGGGATTTTTACCGTTCGAAGACAATTGTTTGGAGGAGGAGCGAAGCGACGACTCCAATTATTGTCTGAGAACGGTAACCCCGAGGGTAACCCTTAACGTTCGACGTGCTTATAACATTTTTTGCGCGATCGAAATTAAAATTATGCAACCAATTATAAATATGCACTAAGAAATTAACGAGCAGAATAAATTGAAATGATCGAAGTGGTATGGTGTACATCACTAGGTAACCAGTTTATTTGTCAAAATTGAAGTTAATAATTTCATAAAAATGTGCATGTGTCTGATGTAGTTTACTAGCTTTGCACTTCCTTTATGACTTTATGAGCGTCTTGCCATAGGAAACAACAGCACAAATTGTACGTTTAAAGTACCTAACAATAATTAAAGATTAAATGTAATGTAAGACTGTTGATTTTTAAAAAGGCGTCGGTAAGTATTTTTGCTGTTCTGTTTTTAGATCGGTAAGTAATTTTGACGTCGTCGTAATCATAGCAACTGGTAAATTCTACGTACTGTCATGGAAACACCCATGGTAAATAGCCAGAAATGACCGATCGCGCAAAAAAAATTAAACCTTATTGTGGGATAATTTAAAAAAAAAGTATTTACCCTCAAAAAATTGATAATTTACTATTGACAACAGTCAGTGTGTATTTGGAACGAAGTATGTTCACCCTTCTAATAGGTGGTGCATCAAACGTTGATATAAACAATAAACAGTTCGGAGAACCTCCTCCCATGTGTGAATGTGGTGAACGGATAACGGTCGTCCATATCGTATGTACGTGTCCAAATTTTGTCCAAACAAGAACAGCGCTGCAAATATCACCAGACCTACAGCAGAACTTGCGGGAGCGATGGCGGTATAATAAAAAAAAAAAGGCCAATGACCAAGATGTCGACGCCTTGGAAAGAAAAAATAAATAAATAAATAAATAAACAGTTCATAGAGAAGGGGTGTTTGTGCATTTGCGCGAAGGGAAAAGTTTCGAACCGCCGCGCACGCATAATCATACCATATTAATTATTATAAGTGGTGGTATTCTTTTTGAATCGCCCTGTATATGCTTAGATACTGTATATGTGTATGGAATGGAAGTCAGTGTCTATTTAACTCTCTAATGTGTAGTATACGAAATACATACCGGTCATGTCGATCATCGTGCTCCGATTTGTGCTTTCAGAATCAAACAAGGTAATGCTCGCATATGAATACATGTTTTAATCGTCTATATCTCATTTAATTTTTGTCTACAGAACATTTCCGGTAAGCAAAATGTTTGGAATTTAAAAAGCTACAGTTTTGTTTTGTTGAAGAGAAGGACGTTTTTCACAAAATTGCAGAAATTTGTTTTTCACTTTTAGCTTCAGTGATTTCAAAATTAAATATTCTAAACTAGTCACACTTCTAGAATGTATTAATAATACGTAATTAGAGAAAACTTGAAGAGGGGGAGGACTACTTTTAATTAGGGTAGTAATTAAAAGGTTATCACTGATTTTTTCCGTGAAAAAAGTAGGGATCTACCTTATTTTCATCATAACTCGCTAAATTTGTATGCTAAAGTTCTTTCTTAAAAAAGAGAAGAAACGTTTTTTTTTAAATACTTTAAAAAATATTCTACAAGTTTTTCTCAAAAAATGCATAGTTTTGTCGTTATTTGACTTTGAAACTCTCTAATTTAGCTTTTGAGGAACAAGAGCTAATCTTTTTGTGTTGGCCATACAACAATCATCAAAAAACCATTTTCTTGTTTTTTAAAAGCTACGATTTTGTTCTCCACAATTTTTTAAAAATAAAATGCACACTTTTCGAGTTTTTCGCGAATAACCAATTAAAAACATTGTTCTTTTCTATGAAAAACTCATACCTTCGGTCGCGAATAATTCGAAAAGTACTAACTGTACAAAAAAATGTATAGAACACTTTTTGGTTTAGCGTTAATTTTTTTATCTCTTCAACTTACAATAAAAAATATCCACCACCAAGATGGGGTGACAACCATCCCCAGGATGAAAACGCCCTTTGGCATGAAATAGATTTTGATCCTTAAGCTATTCCTTACCTTCTGTCAAAATTCTAAGTCTAAGTTAATCGATTTATTTTAAAAAATTGCCAGGACTAAACTTCATTTCCTGGGCTATTATTATATGTATGCACATTCTAATTTTACTGTTTACTTGAAACTTGTAAAAATTTGTGAAATTTTTTTACAAGTTTGAAGTAAATAGTGTAGTTCAAGGTCTCCTAAGAAAATTATGCATATAACGGTATTTTGGAAAATCTTAAATAAAATGGAAAGCATATCTATAGGGAATATAATAATTGATCGATGTAGAATTTTTTCGACATTTGAAAGTGCAAAAAAATAAAGCAGATTTCATTTGAAAAAATCAACTTTTTAAAGTTTGAAGTTATTAAACTTGGCCAATTATTTTAAAACACCCT